TATATATATATATATATTATTTTGATTTTGAAAAAAATATTTTATTTTGAAAAATGAGATCGAACCGATCTCATATATTCGATGACTTAAATAACTAAGCACGATATTACAAATAAACTTCATCTCGAATGATGATAATATCACTTGATAATAGTTTCAATTATTCAAGCCAAAAAATTTATGATACATATTTGTTCTGCAAAATTTTCAACAAATCATTCCCAAACTTAATATAAAGATTAGGTAAGGTTTAAATTATCTGGGTTACTAATTTTTTTATAGGTGCAAACCTATATAATTAATTATATCAATTGAAGTTACTTAAGAAAACTCTAAATTAAGGTCGAAGTTTCTCTTAAAAAATTCAAAGTTTAGTTTTCACGATTCTTCATAAAAAAATTAAGTGGGAATGACTCAATGTGGAATGATTATTTTTGAAATCCAAAAGAGCAAAAAGTAGGAGATATCATATATTATGAAGAAAACCTCATTGTCTTCTCAAACTATTCTATTTTTTGAATTTTCAGCTCTGAAATGATGTTATTTGATGATTACTCCTGTAGTTTTTATTTTAAATCTATGACTTACATTGTAAGGCATACGATCAATGCATATAGCTTAGGAAGATAGGAGAATTTACGTTGTACCGAATGAACAACCTCAGAATCTTAAAAAGATTTAGGGTTTATATCGCACGACATACGACCATGCGAAGGCCTATAAGATAATGAGGGGATTTACATCGTGCTACCAAACAGTCTCGAGGTTTTAAGAGTTTATGTTGTTTAGGTTTATGAAAAGTTTAGTTGAGGATCATCCTTCGCTTCATGTTTTCTCTTGATGACAACCGCTCGATTGCGTCGTCGCCTCGTTCTGTGAAAAGAGAGGGAGGAGAGAAACCATTCCTTAAATGGCCTATTCTATGTTCTTTATTTTATTGTTGTGATTTATTATGATGTTTTAAGGATTGCTAAAAATTGTCACGCGAGTGTGTTGACATAGGGTTTCAGCTTAAGCATGTGCCTTGCGTCCTCTATCTTAGGGTTTCCTTTTCACATGTCAAAAATGTAGCAAGTAAAAGAAGAATAGCATTGTCAATACATCAAAGCATATGCAACCAATTACAAAAAGAGAGAAATGTACCTGCCGCCTCTGAAGTTTATTTCAAATAAACCTCTTTTAAAGAACCATTACATATGAACAATAATCCCCTTTTAAAACATAAATGTGTGTGTTTATGTGGAGTTGAACGGTAAATATATGAAAATTGGAACTGGATATAAGTATTTCTGAGTTAGGCATGGACTTAGCTTCAGGATTTTTTAACCTTAATAATCCTTCTCTGAAAGGATTTCTTTTTAGTAAGCAACCAAAGTATCTGCGTGCATAGAGCCAATTCTGAATGGAAGCTACCAACAAAGCCATCGAAGGAGGACAACTCTTAATCCTATTCAAAGTGATTAACCAGTGGACATATAAAAGGTTACACCAAAAATTCTTGATTTGTCATGCATATAAGTAAATTAAGCTTTTATTAGGACCATTAACAACCAACAACTAACCCCACAAAAGAATTTGTTCTATTATTATATAATTTTATAAATAAAACGGTCCGCTGATCATTCAGATAGTTGGATTAGAGCCGCCAGCAACCTAATAAAGCAGGGGCAACTTCACACCAGATATTGGGGAATAGTAGTACCAGCCCTGAACCCTCACAAATTCATTGGATTAGGAAACATGGTACAAGTCTATTAGCACGAACTTAGCAATAGATATTTTACATCAGCGCCCATATCACTAACACTTCTAACTCATAAGCGAGTTCGATGATTCATACAAAACCACAAAGAGATTGCTCACAAATGCGAAGTTTGATGTCATTCATTTTTTCACAATCAAAATTTTTGACCTATCATATTTCTCACTGTACACCGCCAGTACAGAGAAACCCGACAAGGGCACCTAGATTTAGTTTAGGAAGCAATTCTCTCTACTCATGGCTCTTGAAATTTACATGCCAGAGCAATAATCTTAGCGGTATAATTTTGAAACAAATTTATTGAATGCTTCTAGAGGCAGCTTCACGATCATCCAGTGTCTCGACCACGATCAATTTTACCTCGCAAAGGTGCATTAAGAAGTTGGTAGAATTCAAATCAACAAAAGATCAGAAAATTTTATGTACGAATACATATAATGATATAAGCATTCAAGCGACCCAGTGTATTGAATATGCATGTTATTCTATTCCAAGGCATTTGCACATCTAACACTTAAGCTTCACTTTTATACATAACACTCTGTTCTTATGTATTTATATGGCTGACACCTAAACTTTCATGATTACACACACAGTACTAATGTTTTTAGTATCATATAAAAAAATATCATTATTTTCCATTTTTAAGCGAAATACATTTTTTATGCATAGGTTGAAAGTAACAAGACACCATGTATGAAAGTATAAAAATTTAGTTGTGACATATGTAAGTACAAAAGAATTGTGTGCTATGTGTATAAATCTTCTATATATAAATTATACATACTACATGAGTTAAGAAGTACATAAAAAAATAACCTTTTTAAGTTGCTCAACAGTTCAAAGATCTCTTATTATATTAGGATTATATTTTCTTATGTTGGTCTAATAGAATATTAAAATAGAAGACACTTTATTTTGTAAGATTGAATATAACTAATATTCAAAAAAATAAAAAATAAAATAAAATAAAACTGCCAACCATCAACATAAGAGACGTGAAAAAACTTCAAATATAGTAGATATTCTGATTTCATAAGCAATGGAGTACCCATCCAACATTAACACATCTAACCATCCCTCATTTGCGGGCATGGAAAACCATTGGCCGCAAAGAACTGCATGCATATACAAACGGCTTTGTTAAAATAAGCACGTAAATAAGTATTTCCAAATGAAAAATATCTCTCTTTTCTCTGCCTTTCTTTAAAATAACCCTTTCTATACTCTTTCTCATATGAACGATTATTAGCTCAACAATTCAAAGATTTGTTATTATATTAAGATTATAATTCTTATGATGGTCCAATAGAATATTAAAATAGAACCCTAAACATAGCAAAATATATAGACCTGATGCATAAGAAAGTTTGTGAATTGTCTTCATCTGATAACATTTTCTACTTAGGCATGCTGCAATAGATCAAACATGTATATAAACTCCTATGGGAATGCAGATAATGTTAAATAAATAAATCATTCCTTATGATTTGTGTATTCAGCGAAACAAGTGTTCATTGAAGTTGGATTTTTTTCGACCAATTACAGTCCGCACGATGTTTGATAAATGCTTCCCTACAAGTTCTGTCATTTTGCATAAGCAACAAAAGAAATTTATAGACGGGCATCCAACTATATTCTTGACCAAGCCCTAATAAGGCTTTGTTACAGCTGATTGTTAACACAATAATAGGGTTACGAAAATATGATAAATTTTCATTCATGGAAAATATTTCAAACATGTATTTCATCTTATACTTCATGAAAATAAGACATGATAATTCACCAAAAGCATTAGAGCACTCAGAAATAGCAGTTTACCTCATGAGGCACAAAAGTAAATCACCCTTATATCAGATTTAACCCATAAAAAGACAGATCTAAAAGCAATGGCCGAATCATAGCACAAATGCTTAAACCAGCAAACAAGCAATATCGAGCGACCAAGGAAAACGAGCAGCCGAGCCAACGCCGGAATCCAATCATCGCCTTACTATTCGGCTCTCTTGCGACCTGACCCTGAAGGCGGCTCACGAAAGTGATGGTTTTAGCGAGATCGGAGTAAGGCCGGGAGGGTTTGAGCCGGCCGCTTCGTGCGAACTGCGGAGAGTTCAACTCTCTTTGGCACAGCAGAAGTTAGACAAGGAAAGGAAAGAGACGGCGAGCATGGCGAAGAAGAAAAAGGCAGAGAAAAGGCGAGCAGGGTGAAAACTCGCGATTCTTATCGAAGTACCGGGGCTCCCCGAGCTTCAACTTTCTTGGGCACAGCAAAAAAAGTAAGACAAGTAAAGAGAAGGCGAGAAAAAGGTAACCGGGCACGGTCGCTGGTTAAGAGGAGAGCCGGTCGCCTGAGTGCTTCGGACCGAAGAGGGAGAGTTCGCCTGAGGCGGCTAGCGCATAGCGTGAAAAAAATTCTCTACCGGTACCGGTGAGGGAATATATTTTTTTTATTTTTTGTTTTTTTAATATTATTATTCTTAATAATAAAAAAAACTTCAATTCATTCATCTTAAGCCTTGCACAAATTATATCAATACGGGTGTCATTTTTTGGTAAAATCGACATTCTGTATACGCTCGTGCGTTTTTTTTTTTTTTTTTCATTCGGGTTTTTCTGAGTTTGTTGACAATCTGACAAATTCAAGTTCGATTCACGGGCGACACGGCGAATAGGATCCCTTGGTCCGATTGTAGCTGTTCGCATAAGCGAGACCCAATGTCTAGCAGAGCGGTCAAGACAACGTGACTCTCAACACATTCTGGAGGGTCTCAAAGTAGGGTTATTTTTTAATTTTGGTTTGTGATTGGCTCTTAAAAAAAAAATTTTAATTTTGAATAATGGTGAGGTGTATGTAAGTGTGCGTTGGTGTGAAGTGAATTGTGGTGTTTATTTGTGTTATGTGAATGTGGTGTAAGTGTATGTGGTGTTTTAAAGATTGAAAACTCATAAGTCCAAAAGGTTTTTTTAGGTCATTCACGATCCTTATAGGACTCAACTTGAGTTTTAATATGTTGGTTTCGATCGACTCAACTAAATGTTGAGAATTTGAAACCGCAAATGCGAGACTATAAGGAGTTAAAAAGTGGTTCGAATTTCTAAATGGTGTGAGTATCTAAGAGTGTCGGTGGTAAAATGTTATGGCTAGATTCTAGACTCTAAGGAGGGAGATTGACTTCACCAAAAATTAGGTCAACAAGTTGTAGAAGATTTTATAATTATTAATGGTGGCTTCAGTTTTGGAGTGATTAATGAAGAAGGTAAAACCATATTAGTTTATGCTTTAGCATATCATTTTAGTATTGCTAATTTTTTATTTAAGGAAAGAGATAAACATATTATTACCTATAAGAATGGATCTAATAAAACACATTGATTATTTTCTGAGAAAAAGAGATTGTTGAGAATGTAAAGATTTTAATATAATTCTAAGTGAAAATTTAGGTACTCAATATTGATTATTAGTTTTAAATTTTTAGATGAGGAGTTTTAAGATAAGAATGCAATGAAACATTGGTTTAGAATTAGATGGGGGCATTTAAATGATACAAATAAAAAAAATTAAGAGTAAATTTCAAGATTTAGGATGTGTTTATGAAGAAGCTAATTTTATGTGGAATAAAGTAACACGTATTATTAAACAAGCGACAAAAGATGCATTTGGAGAATCAAAAGAAAAAATTCTTATAAATAGAAATACTTGATGGTGAAATAGAAATTTGCAAGAAAAGATAAAATATAAGTTGTGTTATAAAATTTGATTTAAATGCAAAAACTTAGAGAACTGAAAAAATATAAAATGACACGTAGGGAGTCTAAGAGAACAATTTGTGACGCTAAAGATTCTGATTTTTTGTGATATTTATTATAGATTAGATAATAAAGGATATGAAAATTTTATGTATAAGCTAGTCAAACAAAGATAAAAGAAAAGTAAATATTTAATGAAAGTAAAGTGTATTAAAGATAAAAATCAAAAAGTACATTGTATCGAGGAAGATATTCAACATAGGAAGATAAGTTGTTTTGATAATATTTTCAATAAAATTTCTAAAAATATTATCAACCATAGTGATCTTAATATCATAATTAATAATAAAATAGTTTATTTTTACTGTCGCATTAGTTAAAAAGAGGTTGATGAGTCTTTAAAGAAAATTAAGGATGGAAAATCAGTGAGACCTGATGCTTACCCAATTGAAGTGTGAAAAGATTTAAGAGACTTAAGAGTTTATTGACTTATTAAACTCTTTAATATTGTTTCAATAACTAAATAGATGCCTAAGGAGTCGAGGAAGTGTATTTTGATCCCCGTTTTTTCAGAATAAAGGGGATACACAAGAATCTGTAAATTTAAGATGAATTAAGTTGACATGTCATACTTAAAATTATGAGAGAGGATAATTAAACAAAGGATATGATGGGATACAAAGATTTCTCATTATCAATTTTAATTTATGTCGGGCAGGTCTGCCATGGAAGCTATACTTCTACTGAGAGGTTTGATGGTACAAAAAGAGTAAGAAAGATCTACAACAACAACAAGGCCTTAATCTCACTAGGTGGGGTCGGTAGCATATGATATATATATTTTTAATTTAGAAAAAGCTTACGATAAGGTTCCAAGAGAAGTCCTTTGGAGAGTTCTAGAGAAGAAATGTATTGACATGACTTATATTTCAACTCATTAAAGATATATATACTAGAATTGTTACTTGTGTTCGAACAAAAGGTGGATTGACCAAGTATTTTCCTATTTTGATTGGATTATGAGGGATTGTTCTTAACCCTATATCTTCTTGCTTTAGTTATGGATGCTCTTACCGTACATTTACAGGAGAATGTATCTTGGTGTTTTCTTTTCGCCGATGACATCCTTCTTGTGGAAAAGACTAGAGAAAGAATTTAAGAAAAACTTAAATTATGGAGGTCTACATTATTGTTGTTGTTGTTGTGTGTATATATATATATATATATGTATATATATATATATATATATATGTATATATATATATATA